TACCTCAAAAAAGGTCGTCTTCATCACCCCATCACCATTTGTGGGCAGCAGGATCTCTCCTCAAGTTTTCACGCTTGCAAGGCTAAACCCGTTGAGGAGTTTTGTGTCCAGAATGATACTTCCGGTCAGCTTGGCTTGCTCCAACACTCTCCAGTGGATAATATTGGGAGAACTTCCTAGGTCCACCAAAACACGTTTAATTTAAAATCTAAGACATTTAAAGAGATTACGAAGGCATCGTTGTGCGATAGCACTAGTCCATCTACATTTTCTTTCGTGAAAGTAATGTCGTCCTCAGCGACTTTTTGAAGTCTCTTACGGTTGGTTACTGACACCTTCATCTTTTTTGCAGCCGAAAATATCACACCATTAATCTCGTTTCCCCAAAAAATCATGTTGATCGTCAAACGTGGAGGATCTTCTCCTGCTTTCGAAGGTTTCGGGTTATCACGATTGCGGTCCAAGTTGTATTTATCTTGGTAGCTTAATAATTCTCTGAGGTGGCCATTTTTTAGCAATGTCGCCACCTCCTCGCGCAAATGCCGACAGTCCCCAGTCCGATGACCGTTGGTCCCATTGTATTCGTGCCACAAATTAGGATCCCTATGACTAGGATCAAATCTTATTGGTTTCAGGAACCGTGCCTCCTTAGAGTTCCACATTGCTGAAACTAGTTCCACTACACTGACGTCGAAGTTGTATTCGGAAAGCCTGGGGTAGGAGGAGTCCCGGGAACCCAATATCTCCTTGTCCTGCAATGATCTGTTATTCTGGCTGCGATCAGCTCTCCTATCGGTAGTGAATCTGTCCGCCGACCGAAAACCTTTGTCACGTCCTTGGGCCCTTTCCCAGGGAAAAAATCGACCTTTTGAAGACCGTCGATCTATTTCGAAACTATCCTTTGATTTCTCCTTACTCTTCTCCCGATCCCGACCCTTGGTTAACGTTGGGAAATCGAGCTGATCATCCTCAATTCTTATCTTTGACCCGTACAGATTGTGAACTTCCACCATGTTGTTGCCTGGAACTCGAGCAAAGTATCCTTCGATTTTCGGGAAGCATCAGAATTTCTCAGATTCAGCCCTTTAGTAAATGCTTTAGTTACCCATTCGTTCGGTACGGCCAGCAGCAACATCCTTTCTTTCTGGAATCTGGTCACGAACTCCCACAGCAATTCAGACTCTCCTTGTGCAATCCTGAATATGTCTGCCTTTCGGGCCTGTATCTTTCTGGCCCTGAAGTGGGGATTTTGACTACTTATTAGTGCATTTTAGCTTTTGTTTTGGTCTAAAAGCGCTTTATTGAATTCCCGAAACTGATGAAATGTGCTAAATTGCAGGAATATAGGAAGATGGACTCCCGATATGAAATCCAACTCAAAAAGGAGTAATCTTAACTCAAGGCCATAAAAGGCATACAAGCCCAAAAGTGCGGACCGCAGATGATGAAGGAAAAGCCAATAGAGTTTGGTGAAAAATGCGGTCTGCACATGAATTGTGCGGACGCAAACGATGGCTAGGACCAAAAGCTCAGAGAATGTGCGTTCCAAGTCCCCCAGAAGTGTGTATCGCACAAGAATTGTGCGGCCGCAGAAGAAGAGCTATGTGGTTTTATAAGGGCAAGATGCAGCTGCAGTTACAAATCTGTGGACCGTAGAAAGAGTCCATTGCAGTCGCAGATCAGAATTATGTGGCCGCCGATTTCCAATCCTGACAAGTTGAAAAAATATGCGGACCACACATGGAATTTTGCGGCCGTAGAACCTCCTGAATGGCATTTTTGTCCGAAATTTCTAGCCCTGTATAAGTAGATGATTGTCACGTTTTTAGGTCAATTTTGACATCAGCAACTACAGTAGTCGTTTCTCTTTTCTTCTTTTGGTAATTTTTCATATTTTGGGGTATTTTAACAAAAAATTTATCATTTTAATTTTGCAACATGAGTTTAATTAGCATTTCTTCTTCTATTTCTTCAATTTCAAGCATGAGTAGCTAGATTTTTACAAAGGTTGTGGCCCAACGCTAGTGTGTAAACCTTATAGATGTTTAATTTAATGCTTGCTTATGGTTCTGTGTTTATTATTTAGCCTTGTTCATGCTTTAATTTGTGAAATTAATGGATGCAAACATTAGTTTATGCCTATTTGGCTTGGTCTCTACCTGATAAAGAGAGACTTAGTCTAGGAAAATATGGCTAACAAGAAATTGGGTCAATCGAGAGATTGATAATCCCAATTAAACGGTTCAACATAGAGATAGTAATAACACGACTTGAGCTTTTATCAACCGTTTTGTGCAATATCCATTTGGACTTGAGAAAGCCAAATTGGGCAAAATCACTCTTTGACTGAGAGGTATTGAGTGGGTAATTGAGTGTTGATAGCTATGATACACCCCCAATCAACAATACAAGCATTAAAGTTTATATCTCAATAGGTAAACACGTAGGTGACAGTCATAGTCTTAGGCTTTTTACAAAACTTGAAAAACAACAAAAACAATTTCGTAGTTTTATTTCTTAATTTAACAATCTTAGTTTAACATAGACATAGAAACAACTCAAATTTGTGGAAGTATAAATTAAGATAGTGTTGATACCCAATTCTTCCCTACCTATTTTTTATACTCAAAATATTCTCAAAATAGCATGTATATGTTTGCCCAAAAGTTTGGTATTTTTCCTTTAATTTTAAATATTTTTAGATCAGTTTATTGTCTATTTTTACACTACAAAATCCGATAATTATTTTCAAACTAGCATTTTTGGTGAATAATTTATTTCATTCTCATATTTACACTAAGATATAATTAAGGTGATTTTTGCATATTTTTTATAAATTTATTTGATATTTCCAAGCTAAAATTGCATAAAATTGCAATTATAGCCTATATTGCGATTAATAGCATTTTACAATTATAAAATTGCTCCCAGTATTTTTAGATTAACATTTATATATTATTAATTAATTCAGTGCTTTTAATTTGTTTTTAAAATTATTTCAACTATTTTAATTAAATTAAAAAGGGAAAATTGGCTATTTAATATATAGCCCATCTGCATTTCAATTATAGCCACATTACAGCCCCCAATTTAAACCCAATATCAACCGCCCAACTCCTAAAATCAACCCAACCCCTGACCCAATTAAATTACCCGACCGGACCCCCCCTTTTAAATCACAGCCGTTGATCTAAAAGATCAACGGCCCAAACACACCCTTTCCTTTTTAATTTACCAAACCCCCCCACCCCTAATTCATTTCTCCTAACCTGCCGCCCTTGAATCCCCTTCCTCTCCCATTCTCTCTGCAAACCCTAGTCGCCGCCACCCAAGCTAACCCTAATCCCTGCAATTCTCGCCGGTTTTCATGGCTTCTCAGGCCATGAAACCTTCATACTCACCTTCTATCGCTCCTGTGTGCTTGGTATTCGAAGGTTTGAGGCTAGACCTCAAAGGTCTCCACCCAGACCTCCGCCGACTTGAGGTTTCCGGCCATCTCCGGCCTGGCTCCGGCACATCTTGGCCTCCTGAGCCTGTTTCCAGTCTTATCCGACTTAGATCGGACATTTTCGAAGCCTTTCTCATTCTAGGGTTCATCTGAAACCCTAGCTGTTGAGGTTTTTCTCCGATTCTCTTCAGATCTGCGTGTATTCATGCTTTACTTTGAGTTTTTAAGAGGTTTTCCCAACTTTTCATTAAAATTTTTACTTTCAAAGTCACTTCTTTCTTAGGGTTTCTGAAAAATGCTTAAATGTTTTTCTGACTTTTCTTCTCCCTTTCTTGTGTACGTTTGTCTCTGCTATGTTCTTGTGTTTCCTTTTTTACTATGTTCGTCATATTTTGTTCTTCCTTCTACCGTGTTTCTATACTATGTGTCTATGCTATGTTTTCACATGTTATGTTTTGCTACTTGCCTTCCACTATGACTTGATTATGCTTCACCTACTGTATTTTCCTACCATGTTCATTAAGCGTTCTTACTATGCCTGCTTAAGCATATTTTCTTCTACTGTTTCTTCTACTCTCATTGTGTTTCGAATTAATTCCCTTACTCTGTTTGCATTGAACATTCTACTATATCTGCTTGTTTTCTCTTCTTTGCATTTGATTCAAGTCGGAAACCCTAGGATTTGGGGTTTTTGGCGAGTTTGGTTTTGTGTGTTTGGACTAGGGTTCTATTTGAGCCCTGGACTCTCTCAAACTCACTTTGGAATCCATGTACTGAGTTTGAATCCTTTTGTGTATGAATTCTTCTACACTAAGACTCTTCTGATTAGCATGACAATCCCTTTTATATGTGTGTTAAAATTTTTTGTTCGAAAGGTTTTCCAACTTGTGTTCAAATCAGAATCCTTTTTGGGGGTTAATTAGTTACTACTGATTCTTCTTAAGTAAAGCCTCTCTATACCTTTTTCTGAAATACTCCTACAAAATCCAAGAAAAAAGAATTTTTCTTAATTATTTACCATTTTTAGGAATTTTTATAGATTTTTATTAATTGTTTGCATATTTCTTGCATGTTTAAGTTTTGCTAAAATCATGAAAATATCAAAAAATATCATGCTTTGCATTTAGGTTTTATTTTCACATTTTTAGGATTAATTAGTTAATTATTTATTTTATAAAAATTGAAAATCACAAAAAATGCTTCATCTTTACACTTTTTTCTTTTATTGATTTTTTCTCTTTTGATTTAGGATTAAGTAATTTTTATAATTAGCTAATTAATTTAATTTCACACTTTTGGATAATTTAGGTTTCTTTTTTTTAAATTTGTAGGATTTTAATTAAAAGAAAAGGAAAAATTAGAAAATAGTAAGACATTAAAAGAAAGATTGTTTGTTTGTCTTGTATTGAAATTGGGCTAAAGTAATTTCGAGTAGCCCAAGTGCTCACCACCCCAGCCCAAGAAAACGGGTCAAACCTGCCTGACCGACCCGAGCCGACCCAAAACCCATCCCCTCTAATTAAAACCTAGCCCCTGGACCTAATACAGGAGGAGATCAACAACAAAGAGGGCACCCCTTCTCCTAAAGAAAAACAAAAAGCGGTGCTCTTGAACGAAAATCAGAACGATCCCCTTTCAGCTGAAGAAGCTAACGTAGCGTTTCCCCTCCCCCATCTTCATCATCCTCTTTCCATCAAATTAAAAAGAAAATACACAAGAGAAATGGTTAGATTCAAAGAAAAGGAACAAAAAAAAAAGGTTTAAAGGCCATTCGAACTTTTGCTCTTTTATTTCAATTTTCTGGATTTTCGAGTGGTATTGGGGCTGTAAGAATTGCTGTTTGCTGCTGTGTTTGTTGATTCCGCTGTTGCCGAGCTACAAGCTTGTCGATTCCAACTTTTGGTTGCTTTCTTCTATTCTAAAACTGAACCTTGTGCGCGGCGAGGTATGTTCTTAATAAAAATGGTTCTCAGATCTGTTGTTTTATGGAATTATTGGAATATTGAAAGCAGGTATTTGGTCTGTTGAAATGTAAAGTGAGCAACTTGGTATTTACTGATTGTTGTTGTACTCTCTGAAGTGGGTGCAATTTCTTTGTCTATAGTTAATCGAAAGGCAACATAAGTTAATTGCATATTTTAATGTTGCTCTGTTTATGAACGTTTGCCAATTTGTTTTCTTCTTCTTTTTAGCTTTATTTCTTTCTTTGTAAAAAAATGCCATCTCCGTTCCTATTTTCTTCTTGAACTCTAATTTCTAATTATTGGTTACTATTCTGTTGGTTCTTCGTTTTTTTTTTTTAATTTATTTTTTAGTTTTCGTTTAATTTTCTGTCACGAAGTTATTTTATGGAGATACAAATGACAATAGAGGATTACTTCCTGAAGCTGAATTTTGAAGAATTGATGTGGTATTTTACCACGATATTGTGAATTTCGTGTTCGCGAAGTTGCCAAGTTCTGTACGTTGTGGTAATTGTTGATTCCCTTGCTTGATAATTCTGTCAAACTCAGATAGTGTGTTTTGTCATTGTATTTCATGTGAAAGCAGTACGTATGGAGATTTTGAGTTGCAAAAACTTTGAATGTAAATTACCTTGGCAATGGCAAAGAAAAATGTTTCACTGTTGATTCACCTTTCCTCTCGTTATGGGATTGCATATGTATATTAGATATACTAGTTTATGGCCCTCACAAAACTAGTTAGCTTTTATAGAAATTTGAGGTGTGCCGTGCCAAACAAAAAAATGACTTTTGCATGGCCCTCGTTTAATTAATCTTGTTTTAATCCTAGAATTCGGGACGCGCCATTTAGCGAATTTCATGGCCTCCCAAAAGTTAATAAGACGTTAGTCGCTTTAGGCGCGCTTTTTAATAACTTTACCTTCCTAAATACGGGTTCGCATTTATGTGACCCAAATCCAAATCTCAACGAAGTCGAAATGTGTCAAAAACCGCGGGTGCATTTATGTGACGTGGTTCGAGACGCGTTTTCACGACGTTGCAGTTCTCTTTAAAAATAATAATAAAAGCGGTTTAAAGTTAAAAAGCACATAAGTTAAAACATGTATTAAAATCAAATTTTAGCCAATTATAATAATTTAAGCGACCGTGCTAGAACCACGGGATCCGGGGGTGCCTAACACCTTCCTTCGGGTCAATAGAATTCCTTATTCAGAATTTCTGGTTCGCAGACTCCAACTGGGAAGTCGTAATTTTCCTCGATTTGGGATTCAGGTTAAACCGGTGACTTGGGACACCAAAAGCCAATCCTATCCCAAGTGGCGACTCTAAACCAATAAATAATCCCATTTCGAATAATGTCACTTTAAATGGAAAAACTCCCTTGTGCATTATCCTTCGGGGTAGGTGTGTAAAAAGGAGGTGTGACACTACTGATTCTTCTTAAGTAAAGCCTCTCTTTACCTTTTTCTGACTTGGTTCATTCATACAAAATTTTCGACTCTTGATTGCTTGGCTGTCAACTGATTTCCTTTCCTTAATTTGCATGATCGTGTACTGTCAAAACCCTTTCCTTAAATAACTATTATGTATTTACCCTTCTTGCATTACTTTGAAAAGTGTTTAATTAACCCCTTTCCTTATTTACCTTGCCGTTTGAGATCAGAATCCCTTAATTAAAGGAAAACCTTGTGTGATTGACTTTCAAACTATTTTCTTACCTATTTCTGCTTCTTTTCTGCACTATAAATACATGACACAATTCTAAATAACACACACACACGATTAAGCATACAGAAATCACAACTCTCTTATAAACCCATACTCTTGTTTCTTGACTGCACTTTGGCTCTCATAAGTCTACTGTTTCTCCTTACTTGCTTCTTTGAACTGGTATGCTCTAAGATTAATTTCAGCATCTCCCTAATGTGTTTATTTATAGTCCCTGTATCCATGCCTGCCTTCAATTCTCTGCAAAGTTAATTTTAAAGTATCTATATGCTTTGCCTGTTCTTTCGTTGTTTCTTGCTGCTAGTATAAACAATTGTTCCCATACCCCTATTCCCATATATGTGCTGAGTTAAGGTATGGCCTGGCAGCATCCCGATTGCTGTTCAGGGCTGAACCTGGCCTTCAACAAGGTCTTAACTCCCTAATTCTAAGGTTGACAGGTTGGTCAGGGGTGTGCCAGCATCCAGTTGCTAGGCATGACCATCAGCCTGCCCTGGCTCTCCCCTAATTCCCTTTCATTGCACTAACACTTACTCCTAGTCTTTAAGTTCTGCCCCCTTCTTATGAGCCTTGCGTTGGGATCTTGAGTTCCCTCTGAACTTGGACATTTGAGGGCTGGCCCTTCCACACTGCACTATAATCTGATTCTGCAATGATATTTGGGGTGTAAGCATTGCCTGGAACTCTTGAAGTTCCTTGGGACTTTGACTCATCCCAAATAAGAGAAAGGCTTTGAAAAATCCGATCCTGGAAGTTGGTTTATCTCATATTATTAGACTCTGAGTCTGGATTAGGCTGATTAGATGTAGATGTAATCACTGATGTAATTTTATTATTTCCTCTGATTCATTTGGTTTGTAATAAATTCTGTAATAACTACTGGGGTGTATAGTGAAAAGGGATGGGATTGTATGCATGCCAAAGGGTAGAAATCATGTTTATAGGATATTTACTTTCAAATTCTGCATCTCACATAGAAATCATGTTTATAGGATATTTACTTTCAAATTCTGCATCTCACATAGAAATCATGTTTTAGGGTGTTTACTTTCTAATTCTGCATCTCACATAGAAATCATGTTTTAGGGTGTTTACTTTCTAATTCTGCATCTCACATAGAAATCATGTTTATAGGATACTTACTTTCAAAATTTAACATCTTATGTAGATGCCATGCTTTAGGAGTTACTACTTTCAAACCTCTGCATCCCACATAGATACCATGCCCATAAATCGTTGCTGAAATTCTGCATATCATATAGATGACCTGCCTATAGGATCTCTGCATGACAATAAACAGCGGTAAAATCAGTAGCACCTAGAAAGCATGCCCATAGGAGCTATCAACTAAATCTGAATCGCCACTCGCTCTTAAGTCTAAAATCAGTGGTAATTTTAAACACTAACATAGCTTACAACCAACAATTCTTTTTGCAATCAGTTTATTCCTCCGTTCCTGAATTAATAGATATCATGCCTATAGGTCCCGTTTAACACACAGGCAAATAGTTAAGTAATTAACCAACTGTCAGTTTTCGACAACTACATCTAAGCAGGACTAATTTGGACTCCCTATCTGGGAAATATGTGGTAAATCAACTTCTCCTACGTTAATTTTAATTAAGGACCTAACCAGTATTTGTCAGTCGTGCTAAATAAGTTGCTTTTTTTTAAATGAGGAGGCCTATTTGAGCCCTTAATTGCTACCAGTTCCCCTTTAATTGTTTACGTGTTTTGATCGTCGCCCTAGCTTTTTAACCTTTTAAACTCTGAAAAGCCTAACTCCCTCCCCTTTTAGGATTAGTAGTATCAAATGCCTCCGAGACTTATAGGTGGGACGGGTAATAGCATGCAGTAGGTGACGATACCATTCCGCGCTTAATACCTTAACGGGGTGGGAAGGGTAGACATAGAGATATGATCACACGATAATACAATGTGTACGATTTGCTACCAGTGTTGTGCGGATGATCCATGTGTTTTACAAACTTAGGACCCCTTTCCTTTATGTAACTTTGTTATTATAAAATTTTGTCTTTGTTTCAGCCACCCGAAACTCTTCTTTTAATTTACTGCACTATTCTTGTCTTCTAAGTTTTCATTTCTTTTATTTAAATTTCTGTACTTGGACGTTTCCTTAAACAAAGTGTGAGACCACTTAGATCCTTTTTCCATATGCTTGTTACGTACCTATTTGCAACCTTTGTGTATAGAATTATTTGTCTGCATTTCAAGTCACAACATTGCATGGACGGGAACCACACTAGTGGATCTTGAGGGGTGCTTAACACCTTCCCCTCGAGATAATTTTTAGCCCTTACCTAAACTCTGTTTTTCAGTTCAAAACCCTTAGTGTCCTAATGCACTTAATCATTAGGTGGTGACTCTTCAAATCCAGAAAAACCAATTCCCAAACGGGAATAGAGTTATCTTCCCAAATGTCGTAAACCCGATTTCGCGAGGAAAAAGGGGCGTCGGCAGATAGTTCAAGCTCGCTACTACAATATATACTCCTAACTTCCATATATAATTCCCTGTGGAAATCGACCCCGACTCTTGTTGGGTACTGCTATTGCAATCGACCGTTTCAAATCCTTGATTTGAGGAGTGAATTGGACGAGATCAATTTTTGGCACCATTGCCGTTGAGTTAATGGTGGTGTTAACTATATATTTAGGATTCTGTGTAGAGTGTATCATTTTCCTTCCGAGATACTAATTGGTGTGAATCAATTGTAGGTACAATAATGGCAAACAACAATGATCAACTAGGAAACATGCCTTTGGGGGATGTGGACGTTGATGATGACCAAGTTGAGGAGGTTCCTCTTGAACCTCAAGCAAATAGTAAAGGCCGGCCACCTCAAGACAATGTCCCAGTTCCACCCCCGCCTCCACCAAGAGCAGCTCCACACCGGGTGTTGCCGAATGAATGTTATGCAAGTGCCATAGTCTCGTCCCGTATTAGTGCGGGAAACTTTCAAATCGAAATGAAATGCTCATACTGCTAGAGCAACGAGGATACTTCACCGGGGCTCCAAGTCAAAATGCATACAAACACTTGAAGGGGTTTATTGAAACACCTCAAAATTTTAATAATATTTGCATTCTTGATTGAGCATTTTTATAACGAGGAGATATTTTACTTTGCACTTCTTAAACGTGAAATTGACAATATATGAAAATTTCTTACTTTAGGTTGTGTTAATATTGACAAAGAAGCTCCATGATGTTGCTATGTGCAACACTTAATATTATTTTGATGAATTATTATTAAATATATTATATAATTAAATTTTTGGGCTGCCAACCTTTTGTATTTATCTAAAGATATTAGTAGTTTGGGCGGCCACATTTTCATACTTATCCAAAGTTTAGATATTACTTTGGAAGTCTTGGTTTTCCATATCCTTCTCTCTTGTTTCATTCTTGCAAGACAAAGAAACAAAACCATCTACCCTCTCTCCTTCTTAGCCTCTGAAAACTTCATGAAACCACCATAAATTTCTACTAAATCAACCAGCAAAATTCGTTCTTGGTGAAGATCAAGTTGGTCTCTCTTTTGGGGTAAGTTTCTAAGCTCGTTTTTACACTAGACAACTATTAGTGTTTTCTATATATCTTTTTGTACAGAGCTCCGATTTAAGTGATCGAGGACTTTCTTGAAAGGTATTTCATAGATCTATAACTCATATGAAGGAACCAAAATATGGTTTTGCTGGTATTTACCCGAAAAGAGATCAGAAAGTACAGGGTTGGTGCTGCCCAAATTTTCAGTTTTAGAAATACTCCATGTACTACTGTTAGTAATTTTAGCATAACTTTCTGTACAAAGTTGATATGGGGGTGATTCAAGATGTTCTGAAACTCTATGACATAGATTTACAACTTTTATGAAGACTATACAGTCTAGTTTGTCCGTTTAGATCTTCAAAACTGAGCCACAACGTGAAACAATGATACTGTCCAACATTTCTGTTTCAAACATTTTTGGGTAATTTTCACCAATATCATGTTTAGTTTGACATGTTAAATCATTGAACTTATTTAGATATTTTATTATGTTTTTAAGGTATATAAACCCTCGAAAAATCAAAGGGGAAGTGTTTGAGGAAGTGGACGGATTTGGTTTGTTTACGGTGTAGACAATTCGAACGTCCCCAAGTTGTGATTGAACTGTTTTTTGGTAAAACACCAAGGTTTGTGTATAAACTTTGTACTCTTTTTGCTTGCTGGAATATTCTGGAATAACCTGATTTTATTGCTCTTGTCTTCAATTTATATTGTTATATTCGTAATATATCAAATATTGTAAGATATTTGCTAAATCGCCCATTCGTACGGATTGTTTGATCATTTTGCATTCTTGTTGGGACTTTGTCCTTCTTGTGGCAGTGACTTTGTCACTCATCTTGGCATGCCTCTTGATTTGGATCTTTTGCCATCTTTACTTTGGATTTGTAGTTCGTCTTAAATTATGGAACTTGTCCGTCTTAAGTACGAACTAGGAAGCCATTTTTAATATGGTTCTTGATTCTCTTGACTATTGGGTTTTGACCCCACTTGATTTGGGGCTTCGGTCCATCTTGATATCTGATTATGCTTTAGTGTGATGGCATGACGTATATATTGGGCGAAAAATGGATATTTGGTAAACTCTCTTGATTGATAGTATACGGTTTCTCGACTCTTGAACATTGTTATTGATATTTGGAAACACTTCAAAGTTTGATATTTGATATTTTTGGTATATTTGTTCACTTATTTTAAATTATGTTAAATTGAGCTACCTATGACTGAAAAGGCGAATTGGAGAATTTAATGACTCCAAGCCCAAAGTTTATACGCCACTAAGCTTTATGCTTAGTGATAGTTATTTTCTATCGTAGGTAATGTACGGGATAAAATCTGAAGACGACTATTATGAAGTAGTCTTTTTGGGAGCTTTTATGGAGATCACATTTTCTTATGCACCTTGGTTTTGCATAGTTTTGGGACATGTAGATGATATATATATGTCACATTTATGTATATTATTTGGAGGCTCGTTGGATTTTAAGACCAAAATCTTGTAACTTGAATTTGGTAACTTGTTTTGCTGTTTTAGGTTGTGTTAATAACTCAAGTCTTGTAATATGCCGAATTTACATTTTGTCTTGTAAATATGTACAAAGGAGAAAACTAGTTTCCTTTTTACATATACCCAATAGTTTGAAATTTATGTACAATACAAACTTGCAGTGATGTTGAATGAAAGTATAAATTGGTTAGGAAGTTGCTTTAATCTGTTGATTGTTCAAGAAGGGTTATATCACCTTATGTTGATATTTTGACATTGTATTTCATTTAAAATAAAATTATGAAGTGTATTTTCAAAAAAGAAAATATTGCACTTTGATCCTTTTCGCATGGGCCTATTTCCGCTACTAAATTATTCTGAATATTTTTAACTAATATCTTTTTAATATTTTATAAATAGTAAATTAGATTTGTTTCCTAAGTAGCACCCTCCCAAAGAGGTTACTACATTTATGGACACTTGTTGGGGGAGTAAACAAACAAACGTCTCCGAGGATGCTTTAAGGTTAAGGCTTTTTGCCTTCTCTCTATGGGGGAAAGCCTTAGATTGGTTATAAAGATTGCCAAAACATTCCATCCATACTTGGGATGAGTTGGCGGAGAAATTTATTGCCAAGTTCTTTTCTCCCAGGCATATGACTACTCTTAGAGACGAGATTCTAGCATTCAAACAAGAACCCAATGAGCCGTTACATTAGATATGGGAGCAGTATAGAAAAACGGTTAAAGAGTGTCCTAATAACGACATGATGGAGAATATGGTTCAACAAACTTTCTATCGGGCGATCAATACGACCAATCAATGCATGGTAAATCAACTTGCCCGTGGAAATTTCATGACAATGCCACATGCGGAAGCTTGTGAGATTTTGGATGAAATGGCTGACACATCCTCAGCATGGAAAAGTCGGGCTAATGTTCCTCAAGGTGATCCAAATGTGATTCACCTCCATAAAGAGTTGCATGACCATAGGCAAGCCATTGTTGAATTGACCACCACAATTAATCAATTAGCAAAGGCTCAACTTCAACAAGTGCAAAGTCCTAAGCAAGTCAATGCCATGGAGGGAGTAAATATAATGGTGAACAAAAGAAGGACCAAGGGTCTGCACGTGCAAAACCGAGTAAAGAATTATGTGCAAGAAGATAGTGGATTTGATCAAGATGAATCTTACAATGAACAAGAAGAGGAAGTGCAATATGTGAACAACTTTCAAGGGCAACCAAACAATTTTCGAGGCCCAAGTCAACAACAATGGCAACCTAAAAATAACCAAGGCAATTGGAATTCTAACAACCAAGGTAATTGGAATGGTGGGAACGATCAAGGGAATTGGAATAACAATAACAATCACGGAAATTTGAGTGGCAACAATCAAGGGAATTGGGGAGGTAACAATCAAGGCGTATGGAACAATAATCAAGGCAATCGGGGGTCGGATTTTCAAAGGCTCCCGATGTATCAACAACCGAGCAACCCGTCTCCTTATCCTTACCATGGCCCAAGTTCTTCCAACAATGAAATAGAGCGAATTGAGAATATGTTCAAGCAAATGATGGACAAGAATGCCGATTCGGATGCCCAACTCACCTCACACACCAAATCAATTCGCAACTTAGAAGTTCAAATGGGGAAAATCTCTCAAGCTCTAAATACTCGCCCTAAAGGGGCACTACCAAGTGACATGGTGGTGAACCCAAAGGGTGGGAACAACAAGATGCATGCCATGGCCTTCACGACAAGGAGTGGGAAAGGTGGGAATGCACCCACCTCAAGTCAAAGGAAACTTGTGGATGATGAGCAAGTGGTACAAGAAGACGAGACCCCGAACAATATAGTGCAAACAAATGATGAAGTGCAGATTGATATTGATGACAATGTGGAAGAGACTCAAGCAAAAGTAAACCCGTCTAGGGATCACATTATTGACATACCGGAAATGGTAGTGCAAAAGGCTAAGGCACCATTGCCTAAGCCTCCTCCTCCATATCCTCAAAGGATTGCATAGAATAATGGCGAGAATCAATTCAAAAAGTTCATTCACATGATGAAGAGTCTCTCGATCAGTGTGCCATTGGTTGAATCTTTGGAACAAATGCCCGGTTATGCAAAGTTTATGAAGGATTTGGTGATAAAGAAGCGGTCGATGAATTTTGAAACTATCAAAGTCACTCATCAAGTGAGTGCAATTCTGCATTCAATGGCTCCTAAATTGGAAGATCCTGGTGCTTTCACAATCCCTTGTACCATTGGAAGTGTCGAGTTTTCAAAATTGCTTTGTGATCTTGGGGCAACTACCAACTTGATGCCCTATTCGGTTTTCAAGACTTTGGGAATTGGGAAACCAAGACCCACATCTATGAGACTACAAATGACCGATCGTACCATGAAGAGACCATTGAGAGTAATTGAAGATATATTGGTTCTTGTTGATAAATTCATTCTTACGGTGGATTTTGTCATTCTAGATTGTGAAGTGGACTATGAGGTGCCGATTATTCTTGGAAGACCTTTCCTTGTTACGGGGAAGGCTCTTGTTGATGTGGAAGCCAGAGAGCTCACTTTCCGGGTGGGTGATGACAAGGTGGTATTCCACGTGGCAAATCCATGCGGAAACCAAATAGCAATGAAGTGTGTTCTTTCGTGGACTTGGTGACCGATGTGATTGTTGATGATACAAGTGCCATGATTACTGTGGGTGATATGTTGGAGGTCGTCTTGCTCAACTTTGATGATGGCGAGATGGATGGCTTTATGGAATGCAAGAATTCTTTGAAAGGAATGGGGTCATACAACTATGCCATCAAGGAAACACTCCCTCGATCTTGAAAATAGGAAAACCCCTACTACAAAGCCTTCCATTGAAGAGCCTCCTACCTTGGAGTTGAAGCCATTGCCTCCACATTCTCAGTATGAATATATTGGCCCTTGTTCTACTTTACCAGTTATTCTTTCCTCTTGTTTGACTAACGTGCAGGTAGATTCGACGTTGGCGGTGCTACAAAAGAGGAAGAAGGCTATTGGATAGACATTGGAAGATATTCGAGGGATAAGCCCCGCATCGCATGCATATTATAAACTTGGAGGAACGCGCCAAGCCCTCTATTAAACA